AATTCAGGGGGGGAGAGAGAGAGAGAGAGGGAGAGAGAGAGAGAGAGAGAGAGAGACAACAGTTGATCCCTTCCATCCTAAATCGTCCGCCAATCCTGATAAGTATATCCGAATTTATCTCTTGTCCTATGTCCTCTGCCCCGGCCAGGCGGCCAGAGTGCGCACGCTATTCACAACCGGTACGACCCGGCTCGTTTTATCGTCGGCAGAAGTTGCATTTCTCGCGGCAGTAGATCGATTCAGGATTGTTACTAGTTCCCGCATGAACAATATATTATGCATATATACATTTATACGTAAATTATTACGCAGTGTGTATCTATGTGCATGCACATGTATATATGCATGTTGCACATCGTTCTTTCGTATCTCTGACCGTTGAGATTCTTCTTAATGTTCAGCTGATATCGCGAAGTGTGTGAAGATGGAGAACAAATTAAAAGAGAGCCGCAAAAGTAACCGGAAGAGAGGTAGTAGGAAGGAGGAAAAACGCGAGTTTCGGAGAATGAAGGATTTGAAGAACGAAGAGATCTCAGCTTGGCCGCAATTTCCTGTCGCCGATATGGAAAATGCCGTCGGCATTGTGGAACAGGAAATTTCCTTGGATCCGGAAAATTTGGACAACGGTGAGTCGAAGATGCTGTGCTCTTTTTTTTATCTACGTTATTATTTAGAGTTACTATTTGGAGAGAGTGCGTATCTTTTACGAAATATTTGTAAAGACGCGATAATACTTTAAAAGTATTATCGAGTTCATTAATGAAAAGAATCGGTTTAAGACGAATCAAATGTGTTTTGAGTAAATGAAAAAAGTTTAGAGGTCCTGAAGTTATTACAATGGCTATACATATATCTGGAGACACAGTAGTGCTCGGCGCTACTGCAGGTATGTACATACACGTATACAAGGTGTCTCACGAGTCTTAATATTTCTGGGAGTAAAAGAAGATGGAATTTGGAATTAAAAGTTTCTTTCTCAATTTCAGTTCAGACCATTATTACATACCGAATTATTAATGAAAGTTGATCAGTTAAATTGCGCCCCAGTTGAAAGTATGCAGAAGCGTAGCATGTCGTGAGACTCCTCGCGCTTACTGTTACATTCTCCCGATTAAAATTGTATTCTAATTTTTCCTCTTATTTTATTATTAGTCTTTCCATATTATTTTATTTTATATTTTTCATATTATTTTCCCCATTGATTCATTTATTACTTATTTATTTCTTTTAATATGAAATTTATTCATTATTTATCAATTAATCTGAAGAATTAAAATAAAATTTCAATCAGGAAAATGTATAGTAAGCGCGAGAAACGCTTACTATACATTTTCCCGATAATGAATGATCTGAACAAAAATTGAGAAAGGAACTTTTAGTTTAAAATTCCATCTTTTTCTCCCAGAAATATTAAGAATTATGGAATCATCCTGTATACATACAAGATCAAATTAAGGGGTCTATTTTGTAACGCTATAGTTACCGTTGTCAGAGTTACAGAATAGACAAATCGGCAGAAAAAAAGAAAATTTGATTCGTTTCTTTATGAAAGTTTTTCTAAAGATGTATTCTTTTTATATATATTTATACTGTTTCGTATTTTCGGCTCACATCTCTTCTTTTTTATTATAATTTCAATTAAAATGATGACATAATATCAATTTGTTGCATATATTTATGTCTAAATTGATACGATTTTTCACGTATATTAACAACAAGCATTTCTTTACTGTATGAAATTTCTCCTTTATTTAATTTACTATAAATTTTGATATAAAAATAAATTGCATTATTATCGAAAAAAACCTACTTTCCATTATTTTTATATCCAAAACGATATATACTATTATTAATTTTTCAGTTTATCTAGTATTAGTTTATTTAGTTAGTACATAAGTAGATCTACAAGTGCTAGTACATAGCTGTATAATGTACTAACTCTTACCTTAATATTGTATGTACAGGAAGTGAGAAGAGTAAGCCGTCGCTCATGTGCCCCTCCTTACGTCGACAATTACAAACGCATAAGAACGTCCTTCGATTGTTGCACGAGTACAAGCTGGCTTCCACGCAGATCAACGGACAAAGGATCCTTAGTATCCAACCGATCCGTTGGAACGGACCAACCCCTGGTATAGAGTGTGAGATCTTCGTAGGCCGAATTCCGAAGACGATCTACGAGGACACTTTGTATCCGCTGTTCAAGATGGTCGGCGAGGTCTTTCAGATCCGGCTGATGGTCGACATGGCCGAACTGACGAGAGGTTATTGTTTCATTATGTACACAAATCCGGAGGATGCGGCGCGCGCCATTATCCAGCTGGACCAGTACGAGATTTTACCGGGCAGGAAAATACGTGTTCTGGCGAGCGTAAACAAATGCAAGCTTTACATTGGTCCTCTACCGTGGCATATTGAATCAGAAGAAGTCGTCAGGGTAAGATCTCTTTATTTATCTTTTATGTTTACATTTTTTATTTATAAAGCCTGTTTCAAATCGATA